AAAATAAAATAAAATAATTTGGGTTGTAATGAAGATTAAAGATTTAATTCATATAAAATGCTTAGATCCTGGCCTGACACTTGGGATCAACATCCGGACTGATCTTCCAGCACTGGACTGTATGTTTGGCCTAGGAGGAAGATCCAGATAGACTACCTCATCTGTGGCATGAGAGGGATGCTGGGGCCACTCAGGGTGCTGACTGAGAACAGGACTTTAGAGCGGAGAGGCTAGCATGCCAGGCATGGTGGGCTTTTAGCCAAAGATGGGACAGCAGCAGAAACACCTCAGACCAAAAAGTGAGAACAGGGTTCAGAGAGGGGGCAGAGGGAAGGAAGGAGAGGCTTCTATGGCTCTTGGGAGTACCACGCCTAGCACACCATACCATCTCACACCATGAGATGTGTGTGAAGCCGGGGCAGGTGATGTGGTACCTAACCACAAGTAGGTAGGTGTCTTCGCATGAATGTCTCTGGAGCTCGTAAGGTAGGATGCCTAATGAAAGTGGGACACAGGAACATAAACCTGGTGCAGGCAAGGCAAGTTTGAGTTCAAGTGGAGGGAACTGGGCACCCGTGTGTCAGGCAGTGCTGGGCACCTGGTAGGAATCACCTTGCTGCAGTTTCAGCAGATCCCTGGGTGGTGGGCAGGATGAGAAAACCCAGGCTCAGAGAGATGAGTTCCCACTGAGAGAAAGGAGCAGAGCCCAGAGCTTGACCTGACCTTGCCTGATCGGTGGGGTCCGATTTCAAAAGGACACATCCCGGCACCTGCTGTTGAAGTTCAGTGGATACAATAACAGGAACAAGAAGCAGACGAGCCTTAATGAGACAGGCTGTCACAGATCTGGCCTGATAGAGGACAAGGGGGGTGGTTTCATGATGAAGCTGAAAAAGCGGATACAATGTAAGGTGTTGGCTACCCAGATGTGGCCATACTAATGGGCAGAAAGGGGAGCACCTGTGGGATCCTCAGCCTGCCCTGTGGACGGCTGGATTCTCTAGTCATCAAAGAAGCAAGAAAGAGAATGAGCTTCAGTTTCTTTTCTGCAGCCTTGAAGCACCAGCTGTTGAGCAAGGGGGATGGGGAAGAGGAAAAGGCATTTTTTTCTTCAGTAGTGGGCAAAAGGCAGCAACCACAGCCATGGGGTATGGGCATCACACCTCGGCGCCGTGGTGGCCTGATCTTCCAACACTCTGAGAGAACACAGGATGTGGGTGTTGGTGGAGGCAGCGACTGGGTCCTGCACAGAGGCCACAGCCTCCCGCCAATACAAGGCTGGGAACAGCCTGAAAATCTTACTCATTTACGTGCAGTGTGAACTGCACCAGGGCAGGGGTAGTAACCTTTTTGAAACTATAGTCTCAGGTCAAATTTCCCCAGAAACAGACCCTGTGGAATTGTTCTTGGGAGAAATATCTGTGAGAAAATGAAGGAAGCAGGGCCAGAAGGGGGACAGGACGGACTGTGATGTAACCATACAGAGGTCTTAGCCAGCCTGTAGGGAGCTTGAAGCCCAGCTGGCCCTTCAGGCTTTGAACCAGGCATTGCATACAGGTACCTCCAGGTTCAGGAGATACCCCTGGGATACCCAGGTTCAGGAATCATGCCTAGCAAGGACTCAGCTGAGAGCCACCCACAGTCGACTTGTGCCACTGGGAATGAGAGTCTCAGACCTGGAAGTGGGTAGCTCTGGATGGCATCCCCCAGCATACCCTACTGGTGTATCCTATAGGTCTAGAAAATGCCTGGTCCCCAGTGAGGACAGGGATAACAGCTGACCCTTGGAGGGCTGAGCCCCATCTTAAGCATCTATATACATATATTAATATGTTTGTGTTATGTTTGTGGCAATCCTACGTGGCAGGCACTATTATTATCTTCATTTTGCAGATGGGGAAACTGGAGCCCAGAGAAGTTAAGTAGCTTGCCTGAGTCGACCAGTTAGCAAGTGGCAGGGCTAGGCTTTGGGTCCAGCCACCCTGGTTCCAGAATGTACACTCTGAACCAGTTTGCTAAAATGCCTTCCTCACGCTCTATAACATCTCTAGAATATGTGGTTAAGAAATATTTGTTGACTAAGTGAACAAAGAGCTCACCTGACCCCTGTCCTCGACTCCTTCCCTGCTTCTCAGGGCATGGAGGAAGAGAAGGGAGCAACAGAGACTCCCCTGAGAGGACAGGGCTGGATAGCAGATTTGGCCTCCTCTGGGAAGGGGTTTGGAAACCAGGTGGGAATGCCAAGAATACCTCCTGACTATGCTGAGCAGGAGGGGTTTCTGGGCCCCAAGAGATGGCTAAAACCTGCCATGCATTTCGGGTTTTTCCTTCCTTCCTTGTAGAGTGTCCCAGTCAAGAGATAGACATTGTCTTCCTGATCGACGGCTCTGGAAGCATTAACCCAAATGAATTTAAACAGATGAAGGACTTCGTCAGAGCTGTGATGGACCACTTCAAGGGCACAAATACCCTGGTGAAGACTGGGCACCTGAGACCTGGGGGTGGGGTGGTGGAGGCAGACCTGAGGTGTGGCTTAATGGAGCTTTGCTGTGATGAGGCTAGGGTCCAAGGTCAAAGCAAGGTCCCAGTGCAGGGCTGACCTAGAAGAGTCCCCTATGGCATGTATCCACATGCCATGCGAAATACAACAATTTTGCTATTTAAAAACATTGAAAGTGGCTCAGCGCCTATAGCTCAACCAGCTAAGGCGCCAGCCACGTACACCTAAGGTGGCGGGTTCGAATCCCCAGCCCGGACCCGCCAAACAACAATGACGGCTGCAACCAAAAAATAGCCAGGCGTTGTAGCGGGCGCCTGTGGTCCCAGCTACTTGGGAGGCGGAGGCAGGAGACTCGCTTGAGCCTAGGAGTTGGAGGTTGCTGTGAGCTGTAATGCCACGGCACTCTACCTAGGGGGACAGCTTGAGGCTCTGTCTCAAAAAAAAAAAAAAAAAAAAACATTGAAAGTATGTAAAAATAATTTTGCTATGAAATTTCCTGAAGGCAGCTCAAATGATTGATGATTTCATTATGTTTTCTAGGTAACTCATGATTTCTTTATGTATTTTATTTCCCAGCAACTAGCATGTGTGTATGTGTGTGCACACAAATTCTTAAGAAATGAGGATATGAATTGATTTCATGTGTTATATGATTTTTAAAAAATCTAAGCATAAGGAATACTGTGGTTGGCAAGGTTATTTTCTTGTAAACTGTGGTCCTGTCAGCCTCACTTTCACTCTGAATGTCCCCTGTAGCTTCTCTGGTGATTTACAAGGCTCTTTGCAAGAAAGCCCATCTGTAGGTGGTCATCCACCTGCCACTTTCCAGCCTCTCCTGGAGACTGGCATCTGTGGGCTGTTTCTAGTCTGCCATCCTGCCCCTACCATCAAATTCTCAATCTTTGTGAACTATGAAAGCAACATTATTTGGTTTTGATTTTCCAGTTATCTTTGTGTATTTTTGGCTCCGTTTTTTTCTGGGTTTCATATATAGTATTATTTGTAGGACCACCAGAACACGTGGGAAATGATCTGTAAATTCAAATTTATTCCAAAATAAAAAGCGTATTAAAAATAATAACAATAGGGTGGCGCCTGTGGCTCAAGGAGTAGGGCACTGGCCCCATATACCAGGTGTGGGGTTCAAGCCAGGCCCTGGCCAAAAATTGCCAAAAATAATAATAATAACAAACACCAAGTCATGGGACCCTCCTCTTGGCCTTTGCAGTTCTCATTGTTGCAGTACTCAAACCTGTTGAAGATCCATTTCACCTTCACTGAGTTCCAGAATAGCGCAAGCCCTCAGAACCTGGTGGATCCCATCAACCAGCTGAATGGCCTGACATACACGGCCACAGGCATCCAGAAAGTGGTGTAAGCTTCCCCTCCTGTGCCCAATGTGGCTGCCACACTCACCTCCTAGTGCTGAGTCAGCACAGCCCTTCTCATTCCTTATCCATGCACCCCCTCTATGATAACTGTGTGCTTACTGTGTGCTACCCAGCATGGGGGCCAGGTGGCCCATGCAGAAAATGGTTTAAGTGCTAAAGCTAGAAAGAAGGGGACATGGTTCTTGTGGGAAAGAGCTGACCTGAGTATCTGGGATCCTTGGCTTCCCACACACACTCTTGGATTGCTACTCTCCGGGTAGTGCTAGAATTTGGTGGGGGCATCCAGGGTAATAGATGTTCCCACCAAATGTACCCTCTCTTTATTTCTGGGTGACCAGGAGGAAGGCCTCTGTCTGTAAGTTTATCTGTAAGTTTAAAGTCACACAGGAGTATCCCCTCCTAGATGCCAGTGGTGTGGCCTAGTAGGAAAGGCAAACAAGGCCAGGGTGTCCATGTGGGTCTCACCAACTCTGCTCTGCTCCCATAGCCTAAAATGTAATGTGCACCTCCCAGAACGCAGTGTACCCCACAGAATGCAGTGCATCTCCCAGCAGTCTCTACCCCCCAGAGACACACCAGTTTCAGGGCTGAACTCAGCTGCTGCTTGGCCCTCCCTGCCACTGATTAGGTTTCTTTCTTTCTTT